GTCTAATGTAATTTAAATTGGTACACAAAAATCAAGAAAAATAGTATACTTTAGTAGGTGATTTTACCTATTGTATCCACACAAATGGGGCCATGGAACATTAAGAAAACCCTGCTTTGGGCCTGCTGAGTCTGGATTTCTCACCAGTTTATCTGACATCGAGCCAGGCTATCTAGTGAGGCATCTTTTCTGGGCCTCCGTTTTGATTTCCTTCTGGCGACACCGTGAGCAGTTTGGTTTAGCTGGTGCTCAATGTCCTTTTCAGTTGCTTTCCCTTAGTGAACCCTAGGCCCTGGCGCATCTGAATCTGGGTGAAGCTGGGCAGGGGGTTATGGCACAGATCCCTCTTCCTCTGCCTCAGGCCCACTAACCATTCATCACCACCACCTCCATCACCTCTAAAAGTTGGAAATCATTTGCTCTGATTCTGAAGGCCAGAGGGGGCATGTCCTTCTGTGAGTCTCCCACTGATGCCCGAGTCCCAGGGATTCTGATGTAATTAGCCTGGATGTGGCTTGAGATTCAAGATTCTTGAACTTTCCAGATCATTCTTATGTGAAGCCAAGGTTGGATATAATATAAAGGCTTATCAGAGTTCCTCATACACAGTAGGTACTGAATAATTGGGAAACAGGTTTATGGGGTTTTGGTCTATGAAAGAATTTTAGATAAACTGGAGGGAGAGATTCCTGGGGGCATTTCATGAAGACAATGACATTTTAGCTCTTATAGGAAAGAGGAGTGATTATAGGGTGAGCAAAAATGATTTGGAAGCTGGTGAGCCTGGGCCTGATGTGAACCAGTGCTTAAGTATCTCAGTATTACATACATCTTTGTGCTTTTGTCCTCAAAGAGCTGGGGGTCTCAACTCTGATTGAATGGAGCCAAGGATGTTAGTTGTATTCATTATCTATTGCTGTGTAAGAAATTACCCCAATTATTGTGTCTTAAAATAATAATAATAATTTATTAACTTTCTTTCACTGTTTTTATAGGTCAGAAATACAACCAGGGCACAGAAGGGATGGCTCATTTCTTTTCATCAGTATCTGGGGCCTCGGTATCTGTGGATTCCTTCTTTTTTATGTTGTTTTAGTCCACTTGGGTTGCTATAACAAAATACCATAAATGAGGTTGTTTTTATTATTATATTTATTTATCTATTTTTTTGAGACAGAGTCTCTCACTTTGTTGCCCCTGGTAGAGTTCCATAGCATCACAGCTTATACCTTCAAACTCTTGGGCTCAAGAGATTTCT